TGCTTCAGAAATCTATTTAATATATTGTCCTCAGATAGAGGACGTATCAGATATTAGACTGTTAAGAACAGGAACTACACTTGATCTTAGTCAAAAGGCCGAGAAGCGGTGCAGATTTACCCTTTTTAATGTTTGATTTAAAAGTTTTTAATGTTGGTTGGGATAACTACATTTTGATTTTTCTTTTCTCAGGATTTTTGGGAACTGTAGGTAGAACCCCCACCTCACCCTCCACCCCCCTCCCCATTTCCAAACATAGCAATAAGAACTGAAGCATAATTTTCAGTTTGAAAAGACAATTTTGAAAAATTAAGGGGGAATAAATTTAGAGATCAAAATGGAGAAGAAAATCGGATTATATGAACCATTTATTTAACTCCTACTTATGCTTTTGAAATTTCTTTTAAGCAGTTGTCACTTAATAGAATGTGTAAGAGATTAATACTAACAAAGTCTTAGAAATAAAAGGAATGGACTTAGAGTCATCAATAACATATTGAAACTAATATGTCAAGACTAGTTTTATCCCTCTTTCTTTAATTTTCCTGTGATTTCCCTTTTAGGAGGAAAAAAAAATTACTACATTTCTTTTCTTTTCTTGTTCCAACAAAATGTTGCCCTAATGAAATCTGAAATTTGTCGTTTGAATCATGTCTTTTTTGAAATACTCACCAAGCTTGCCTTCTGAATTTAGCTAAAATTTGATGATTCCCTGTTTACTGGTTTCTAGACTTATTGATTTAACGATCTTAAAATATATCTATTGGCATTACAGATTTTCTAGTTTACTAGTTGTATTACCAGGTTCTGGGTAGATTTAGGAGAGGTTTTATCCTTGTATGCTTGAAATTTATAAATTATTTTTAATAATTGAAAGTTTAATACAAATTTATCTACTTAGGTTTAGACAAGTCTCTCGAGTGGTGTTTCGTCACCGATGGAGAATTACTTTCAAGCAGAAGCTTACAACCTGGACAGGGTGTTAGATGAATTTGAACAAAACGAAGGTGAGACTTTACGTTGGGGAATTTGTTTCATGTATTATGGTTGGGTAGGGTAGGTATTAATGAGCCCAGGCTTTAGTATCACACTGCCTGGATTCTCATCTTGCCACTTACTAGTAAGGTAACTTTGAGGAGGTTGTTTAATTTCCCTGTGCCTCTATTCTCATCTGTAAAATAGGGAAAATAAGATCCACCTCCTTGGGGTTGTTTCAAAGATTACATAATTCATGCAAATGCTTTAGCATAGTATCTGGCACATAGTGCTTAAAAATTCTTCTGTTATTGTCACTAAGGTGTTGTTAGTAAATCATTGAGTCAAGAAAATACTTTGGAATGTATGTTTGCATTTCTTTAAGTAAGAAAAATAGCTCATTTCATGTGAATTACCCACTAAAGTTGATATATTTTTACAACTGATTTTTAAAGATGTATGGGTTTGTTTGTTTTTTTTTACAACATTTGTAAATAATTTTATTGGGATATCTTAGCGCTCTTTTTACATTCCATACATCAGTTGTATCAAGCATATTTGTACATATGTTGCCACCATAATTTTCTAATCACATGCCATCATACTTTTCTAAATATTTACTTTCTATTTGAGCTGAAGATTTACTTTTTTATTTGACTGCCAGAATAGTTAGTTTAAATGACATATCTTCAAGGCTCAGTCTGAAAGCATCACTTGACTAAGAAGTCTTTTCTCTAAAATCCCTATCTCAGTTTAATTTGAATCTCCTTCAATTTAACCTGAGTTTAATATTTAGCCATACTTAAATCTTCATCTTTCACCTTAACCCTATTTTTTGTGTTTTCTGTTTCTAATAGTAAGTGACATATTCCTTGCTTACATAAGTTCAAAAATGCCATCCAAACCTCCACTATATTCAGTGATTCAGCTTGTTCTTTATTAGCAGTTAGGAAGAGAGATTAATTTTGATTTTGTCCCTTTGGGTCTGTGATAAAGCAAACTTTAAACAGAATGTGAAGGAGAGAAGTGGGAGAGGGAGGATCCTGGAATGGCCTGCTTGACTCAGATTTTACCACTGATGATTCAAAGCTAACTCTTAGGGTCATTCCTGATTTTGAAATCTAATCATATACTTACTTGGCAGGGGAGACACCATGATCAGGAAGGTGGTTTTCCCAGGGCGAGGCTCATCCATTGCACTGCGGGTGTGCTGACCTCTGCGATCTCCCCAAATGCAGGAAACTCGACTGCGTAATTTATGGTAGTAGGGGACTGTGTTCACATTCTCCCCTGTTTAAAAAAAAAAAGAAATCTAATCATTTGAAATTTTATTGAATCTACCTGGGCTTTTTTTTTTCCAGGTTAAGTTGGAAGATGCATTATTCTCTGAATTTCAAGTATTTTCTTAACCCTTTAAGTCATCGGTTGTCTAAACAGTACTAATGCTAATCATATGAACCCCAAGCTTCTAGAATATCATTGACTATAATTAATAAAACTATTCTTTCCTTACATTAGTTTCTTTTTTTATGTCTGTCTAGAGTCTTGTAGGGTACTTTGCTTAGGGGTGATTTTCAATACATTTTTGTTGAAATAGTAAAATTTATTTTAGTTTGAAATTCTTACATAAGTCATTTGCTTACAAAGAGAAATACTTTAGCAAGAGGAGTTCCAAAATTAGCTTCTTAAAAAAACCCCCCAAAAATAGCTTCTTGGTAGGAACGAATGGGTCATTTGTGTGAATTATTTGGTAATTAATATTATGTGTCGGTAGTATGCGGCTCAATAATAAAATTTTTAATGAGTAATCATTCCTGTTTGTATATTACTGAATTGAGTTGAACATTATTCCTAGAAAAACAGTATCGCCTTTTATATCTCTAGCACCCAGCTTAGTAACATGATTTATTTTCTTAATGGAAACACACTTTAATAAACCCAAATCTTTTATAGCCAAATTCAGTAAACTCAAGATTTAACACTCTTAGAGAATTCTAAGCCCATTCTCTATAAAAGCTGATGAATTCAGGGCTTAACTAGTCTTTAGAGCTTTCTTTCAATACTTTTTATAATAATTCTTTTCTCAATTCAAACTGATTTACTTTTGTTCATTCAGATTGGTTTGTTTGGGGCTTTTGTGGTAAGAATGTCCTGTTTTCCAGACTTGTATGAAACTCTCTTGAAAACCCAATTCAGGTAGTCTTGCCTCCATAAATTTGAGCTTGCTGCATGAGCCTTGAAAGGATCTTTTGCTTCTGAATTTATTTTCTACTTTCACATAATAGTTCTCAAATATTTATGCTATTCTGTACTACTAGTTAGAATCCATGTGTATTTTATCCATATATTATCCCAACTAGGTTATATACTTCTTCGAGGCTAGGGCTTTTATAATCTTCATGTTGCTCAAATACATTGCTTTTACTATGTGAGCTACTCAGTTACCATATATTTATTGTGCATCTGCTGCAAACAAGGCACTTTACAAAGTGACCCCATACATTTATAGGGACAAAAAGGTCTGCCTGACGTTCAAGTATGTGAAAGAGACATCTAAATAAACCACTGCATTATAGTGTAGTAGATGCTTTAATAGGGATGTGCCATGAAGCATTGAAAACTAATTTTACTCCTGATGACAAAACATTCCAGGATCATGATTATCAGTCACTGTAGGAACAAAGATAATAACTTGCTTAAACATACACAATAATACTATAATTAGGATAAATAACTTAGCTGTCATGCTTATGATCTGTTAAAAATTAAACATTTAAGAAACTTGAAATCAAGCTACTTCTAAATGTTAATAAGTTGATTTAATAAGGTAAATGAATACTTTTAATTCAGGTAATCATATAAATATGAACCTAATAATGTATCATGACAAAATCCTCAAGAAAATTTCATTATATTGTAGCACACTTTTTTTTAACTTGTTAGGGAAAATTTCAAATGTGTACAAAATAAACACAATAGTATAATAAACCCAATGTGCTCATCCAGCTTCAACAGTGAAAATGCTGTCATTTAAGAAAATTTTTTTAATTTCTCTTTGTTCCTTATGCTCTGCTTTACTGTCATTTATTTACTTACACAAATTTTAGATGAGATATATATATGTATTAACTGTGTAATTTGGACAGATGGCTATATCCATATAACCCACATCCTTAACATGATGTTGATATAGAGCATTTTTGTCTCCAAGAAAATTCCTTCATCTTCCTTTCCAATGATTACTGTCTTTTTATCACTGTTCTGATTTTTTTTTTCCTTTTCCAACTTAGGTTAGTCCTTGGTAGCCTTGATGACATAGTAGGTTATGTATTTGGGCTGCTAACCACAGGAACGGCAGTTCAAAACCACCAGCCACTTGTAGGGAGAAAGATGGAGCTCTTGAGAAAGATGATAGTTTCTGTGCCTGTGGAGATTTACAGTCCGACTGGGGCATGTTTACTCTGTCCTACAGGATTTCATTGAGGTGGACTTGGATTGGCTTCATGGTTATGAGTTCTGAGTGAGAGATTAGTCCCTGCCAGGCCTGCCTTCCATCTGGGCATTCTGAGGATGCCTTCTCCATAACTGAATCTCAGGACAGTCTGTGGGACCAATTTAATTATGTTACTAGTTAAGGTAGAAATTTTTTGTTTGGAATATTTTATGTTAGCATTTGATCTTATGTAATTTGAGACTGATAGCATATAATGCAGGGGGATATCTTTTTTTTTTTTTTT